TGTGGGTGAGGGGGGGGGGGGGGGGGGGTGTAAGACGGAGAGAGTTTTATACTCAACTCACATAAATCATGTAGAAGAAAAATGAGCAAATGTGCAGGCTAACTCATCTTCTCCCCATCCAGAGAAAATGAAATTCACTGGAATACCTATCAAAACTGCAATCATCCAGAGATAATATCTTCTTTGGTCTATCTGCACTTTCCGATTTAATTTCCTCCATGCCCTTGACATCCAGCGATACCATTAAGATGAAGCACATACAGTAAGGGAGTAGTTCTCACGTTTTGATATATGAGATCTCGAAGCTTAATGTAATATCATCATTTGAAAATTAATGCAATCTTTCTTTTGTTTGGGGGAGGGGGGGGGGGGGGGGGGTTTTTTTGTGGTGGGTGGTGTGTGGGGGGGGGGGGGGGGGGGGGGGGGGGTGTTTTTTTTGGAGACACTCGAGGAGCGAGCTGACGTGAGACAGGCAACACGACGGAGCGCGAGACAGTGACGAGGACACATGAAAAGGAGACAGAAAAATAAGTGATATGCGAGAGAGGAGGGAAAGACCAGGGAATACTTTGTATTTTGTGGACCCCCCCCCCCCCCCTTCCCTGCCAGAATGACATGCAATTACATCTGGGCCTGCCCCGAGTCAGAGGTCACTCAAATTACTCCATCATTTAGCCGCGCCGCCGAGATGAGAGAGAGAAAGAGACCACCCCACCCCACTCACATCCTCCCCACCCCCGCTGCCACATCAAATATCATGAAATCATTAGTGTAATAAGCATGGAAATCTGTTTGCAGATTATCAACACCCCCCCACCTCCCCTTGCCCTCCTTTATCTGCCCAGAATATATATATATCTCTCTCTGAGCTGTTTTCACCTCTTTATCCTATACGATCATATTAGAGAGGAAGAAAGACAGACAGAGACAAAGACAAAGAAAGAAAGAGAAGGAGATACAGTGAGAGATAAAGAGCTGGTGTTTAATGAGACAATTAAGGACGGAAACAGAACAAAGAAAATAAATGATCATTTTAAAACGTCTGACCTCCGAACTCCCTTCAACTTCTTGTATTTTACACCAAAACAGCTCAAAGTCAGCTCACTGCCATATTGAGTCCTATTGAGGAGGGTTTGTCACATGCTTGGTGTGCGAGTGTGTCGTCCTTCCTAACTACAGCTGCTGTTGCCTATCTGTCAGTAGCCCAACACGGCTATTTGCCGGAGTAAACTCTTCAACTCGCCAAGGGACGCCATCAGCCATCCCTGAAGAAAGCCATGTGCAATGCAAGCCTGGTGACGCTACCTTTTCAGATGACAAAAGAATAAAAAGTGATGCGCAGCACCTTTGCATGAATACATCGTCGATGCAGTACAACACTTTCACACGAAGAGAATCAGAAGGTCTTAAGAAGACACAATGCCCCTTTTTACTTTTAGTTTGGGGAAATGCTGGGATTAAAAGAAGTTTCCATTTTTTCCATTTTGGTATCTGAGCATATTCCTGTGTCATCATGACGTTAAAAACCATATGGAGCTACTTGAAGAGAGTTTTTAATACTTTGCTCCACTGATGGTGAACCCATGTATTGTATCCCTGGATTACTTTACTCAACAAGTACAATTTTACCATCCGGCTGACAATGACAAGTTAAACAGCTGACCTCATCTAGTAATACTAATACTGTCTGAGGAAAGGTGTGAAGGCCATTTAGGCAACAATGGTTTGAAGAATTGTCGAACTTAGTGACAAAATTACCGTAAATCATTATTAGAGGGACAACTACACAACACAGAAATTAAATTTCTGTGACAGCAGGTCAGATATGGTAATGATTGTAGTGATCACTGATTGTGTGAACTATAGGTAAGAAATGCTGCAGGAAAAAGTAGGTTTACTGCACAACCTTTGAGACTTAAGGGATCAATTTAAGCTTCTGAATGGTGCAGAAACATTTGAATTCATCATTTAATACCGAGACCTATTTTTCCACAAAAAATGAGATCACGAAGGGTTTGATGAATTACTTTTTACTTACTACAATTTGGTGTAAGTACCGTTCATATGCAAACAATTCCATTTAAACAATGTGTCTATTAATACGATTAAAATCACAAACTTTAAAAGGACCTTCTCAAAGCTTTCACAAAATGTCTACTGTGTCCCATCAAGACATCAACGCAAAGGCTCCAATGACAACACAGATGTGTCATTTCAGTTTTCTGTGACTCGTGACCTCAACCTGAAACCCCAGACTGATCCGCCTCCTCTGCTCTCTGCTCTCCCTCTCTCTCTCCCTTGTTCTTCCTCTACCCCTCTCTTATTCTACCCTTCCCCGGGCAGTGTGTGTGTGTGTGTGTGTGGTAGAACGATGAGTACAGCTGCTGATTGAGCCAGTAATCCTGATGAGGCTGATTCCTCATGTATTGATTGAGCTGCTGGCTTTCCACCACTTCGCTCTTAGAAGCTGTGCATCTGGACTGATTAGCTGCTGTAGGCCACCTCTTTCACTATGGCTCCATTTCTCCCCACAGCAAGGCATAGCCCAACTCAAATGTGTGTGTGTGTGTGTGTGTGTGTGTGTGTGTGTGTGCGCGCGCGAGTGTTCAAAAGCAGAAACTAACGCAGAGCACTGGGAGCAATTAACTTCAGTCTTTTTCTCTGCATCGCTACCTATGCATCCTCGCTACCTTCAGTCGATCTGCTGAAAATACGAAAACAAAACAAACAGGAACAATACAACAAACCTCAGACCACATAAATCTTAATTGCACACCTAATTACTGCACCAGTCGTTCGCTCACACAGTTAACTTAACAGGAGGAGGCAACGTTAGTATTCATCATGAAGAATCAAGCGCAATAACCATTTGAACAGAGGCTTGATTGTCGAATCAGTCTGAAAGTTTCCTTTTGTTGTTGTTGTTATTAGTGAACAACAAAACAGTGTACGACTGCTATTGCAAATGATCTAAATCAATTAAAAGCAATTCCTCGATAGAGACCCGGTCCAATCATATGACTTGAGCTCGGTGACACCACGATAAGTGTCAATATGGTTGATGCACTAATCTTAAGAGCAGTACATCAACAGAGAGTCATAAATGCCTGTTTAGAAATCTACAGGGATATATGTTGCCAGGCACAGAGCGGGGGAAACGGTGTTTTTTTTTTTTTTTTTAAACCGCCCTGCAACTCTACCTCAGAGGGAGACGAGCTCCATTATTTACAGTTCTCTGTCCCGAATCGTAATCAGAGTCTTGCGCTCCCCAGGCAGCGGACGACCGGGGTGCAATCTCCCCATGAGCATAAACACACCCATAAATTCAAACACTCAGTATTCACGTATTCAAATTCCCAGAGATATATATATTCAAAAAAAAAAAAAAATACACTAGTAAACAAACCAATGTGTGTTTGCGTGTAAATGTGTAACGGTAAACTCTGAGCTGATCCTGATAAAGACTACGAATCAAATGCGATGTAATAATCTGTTACTCTGGGTCTTCTTAAACGTGCCAAGAAACATTAACACAAACACACTCGCGTGTGCAATCCCAACTGTGTAAAAGACATTCTCGTCTACATTCCTTAGCATTAGCACTGTTCTGTATAAGTTAAACAAATTTGAATAAAATCATAATATGATTTACAATTCAGGGTAACTTTGGCCTGATGCAAGTGTGAAAACGTGAACAATCTGCCCGTACATATACTGTACATTATATTTGTCTGCAATATAAACTGACCCGGGATCACTTATGTCTTATGGAAATGAGTTCACATTCCTCCGCTTGCCTTTAAGAGGAAGACTCATCTCAACACGAGACACACATTACCTAATGTTTGCCAAGATGTAACTGCCAATACACATATTGATTAATACTGTTTATGCAAGTAATCCTCTCTTGAATAATTCAGACTGCCCCCCCCCCCCTTTATGGAGTACCACATCAATCACACCTCCAGACCTGAACCGTCTCCAAAGCCAAACTAGACCATTACTATATCGTGCACTATATTTAATGTCCGTCATTTTATTTAAGTGTCTGAACTCAGTGAGAAATCCATGCACTGTACAGTGCCTTCAAAAAATTACCACAGTGGAACAAGAAGTAGGGAGCGGTGAATTAGAGACCGCTGTAGCCAAACAGTGCTTAGTAACTGTATTATAGCCGTACATGTAATAATAGCATTAGCAGTTTTGAGGTAAACTGTGAGAAATATCTGCAAAAATCACTCCAGTCTCTTTTCCCACTTCAATCAGAGTCAATAATATGGAACAATTCTGCGACTGAGCTTGACGAAGTTGAAATCTGAGGTCAACTTGATCTGGTCTGCCGCTCGCTCAAGTGGAGAGTTACTGCGAACTGTTTGAATGTTCGGGTCGGTCATTTGTGTGGCATATTCAGGGTCATTTGCGTAGTGCGTGGTGGGGCGGGGGGGGTCATTTGCGTAAAGGTGCTGGGAGCTGCAGGTTTAGTATGCAGGGAGGCGAGGGAGGGAGGGCATGTGACATCCACAGAGAGCCAGGACCCTCGCTGACCCCTGTCTATAATTCATCCCCAGGAATAAGGGGCACATCAAACCTCGGTTCCTTCCCACCCAAAAAGAGTTGAGAGAACCTTTTCACTTTGTTGCACGGCTCTCTGACCCCGTATTAAAGCGAGGAGCGAGAGAAACGCTGGAAAACGTCGGCTATTAAATTTTCAGGGCTGTCCCGGGAGAGCGTTTGCAGCGGGCTCCCGATTCACGGATTGGGAGAAGACTGAGGAAAGGCCCCCATGCTGACAGGACGAGGGAGAGGGAGAAGGAGAGAGGGAGGGTGTGTGTCTGAAAGATTCTCCTTTCATTCATCCATGAGCAAACAGGTATGCACACATGCAGAAACCCTGCAAATATCCACAACAAATGCAAAAATGAAGGTGGATAACCTGTGTGTGTGTGTGTGTGTGTGTGTGTACTGTAGGGGATAAAAGGGGGGTGTCAAATAGAACTTACCAGATGTTCTAATCTGCCTTTGATGTTCGCGGCATCCCTGCAACACAACAACACATTTCCACTGCTGTAAATAAAGCGCAGACACAAAACGTCATTTAAAAAAATTGAAAACACACAGAAGGGAGACAGAAGAACGAACTGTGTTCAAGTGTGGTTGAATGAACATTTCGGAACCAATGAACATTTGAACCATTTTGTGAAACAATACCTGTAGCTAATTCTGATTAGCTGGAATATATATTTTCATTATTAATTAATCAACCCATTATTTTCTCAATCAAAAGAGTCGTTTGGTCTAAATCAGTCCATCAGAAGGTTTTGAGTTTATTTTCATAGAAGATCAAGAAAAACAGATTGTTTCATTATTTGAGAAGCTGAAACCAGAGATTTTTTTAAATACATTTTTGCTTGACAAATGACTAAACAATTAATCGATTGTCATGCGAGTTCTATTTAGTTCAGAATTGTTTCAGTTCAAATGCAGTCAGCAGTGGTCATAACCATCTTATTGATTTTCTTTTCAGTTATGAGCTGGATGGAAATGGTTGTGCAAGAAATTGATCTTTATGACATCAAAAAGGGTTTTTTGTAAAGCAAAAGGAAAAGAAAACAGATGAGGAAGAATTATCCTAATTGTTTCCTTTCAGACTGAAGTGCTGTGTGCGTTAGTGTGCGTTTGCATACACACCAGACAGAGGTCAGCTAATACTGTTGGCAGTCATAATAATAATATCCCAGTATAGGGAAAAAACTCAGTTTATTATCTGTGAATTATTAAAAAAAAAAAAAAAAAAAAAAAAAAAAAGTGTCTGTGTATGATTAACAGGGTAGCAACGGCAGAATGGCGAGCCATGGAAGTGGAAGAAGAAGAGGAGGGAGGG